AGGAAACTGACCTGGGGGTGAGCAAGACAAACAGGAAAAGGGAAATGAAGACATATGGTTGATACAGATCGTTTGATTTTATTTCATTTTTTTAAAAATTTTTTTTTTATTTTTCAGATTTCGGCAGACACAACATCTTTGTTGGTATGTGGTGCTGAGGATCGAACCCCGGCCGCACACATGCCAGGCGAGTGCGCTACCACTTGAGCCACATCCCCAGCCCCAGATCGTTTGATTTTAAAAGGAAACTTTTTTTCTTTCTTTAGAAATCCATAGTTTGGGGCTAGAAGTGTGGCTCAGGCGTTAGCGCGCTCGTCTGGCATGTGTGTGGCCCGGGTTCGATCCTCAGCACCACATACAAACAAAGATGTTGTGTCTGCCAATAACTAAAAAATAAATATTAAAATTAAAAAAAAAAAAAAAAGAAATCCATAGTTGTCCCACTTCCTGACTTCCACGTCCTGGTCCTGACCGGTTTTCCTTTTCTACACCCTCTGCCATGAGGTTCCATTTCACTTCAGGCCCAGAGGAATGGAGTCAGTCATCCATTGACTAAGACCTCTGAAACGCTCTCAAACTTTCCTCCTCTAAAATTATTCTTGTCAGATCTCTTGGTCACAGCAGTGTAAAAACTTACTAAAACAAAAATTGTTACTGAGAAGTGGAGTCATTGCTGTGATTAACCTGACCATGTGATTCAGAATCTTTTGGAGCTGGTTTGCCAGAGGAAGAATTTTGAAGTGTTTAGAAATACAAGTTGGAAAAACTTTATAATATTGTAAGCAGAGATTAATAGGTGATTCTGGGCGTTCAAAAAGACCAGAATGCCAATAGGACTATGGACCGAAAAGAGTGGGCTCATGAGGTTTCAGAGGGCAAGGAAGACTCTATTGGAAGTTTGACTAGAGGTCATTCATATTATGTGCTGGCAAAGAAGTTGTCTACATTTTGCTCATATCCTGAGACTTTTGGGGAGGCTAAATTTGAAGATGATGGATTAATTCAGCAGAAGAAATTTCAAGACAGCATAGCATTCAAGCAGTGGCATGGATATTACTGGCAGCTTTTAGCTAAGTTTACTGTGGTAATCAGGAGCAGAAAGCAGATTGAAAGATTTGAAAAACTTAGTTTGGCTATAAAAGTGTGAGTAAAACTAATGTTAAGGAGGTTATAGTTGTTAAAGACATTATAGCCCCTAAAGAAATGATAAATTCTTTACCCAAAGACAAGAGGAAAGATGGCTAGAGGCAATCTCAGGAATTGGCAATCAATCTCATGTTAAAGGGTATAAAATTTTTCAAAGTAAAAATTCCTTTGAGAAGAGAACAGTGGGATCTCTGCTTGCCTCGAGGGGGTGGGGTTCAGCGGTGGTGTGGTCCCTAGAGATAGTTTGGCTACTGCTTGAGATGGTGACACACTGACCTTAGTGGCAACCACATGGTACTGTTTCTGCAGGTATGCAGGATACTAGTCAGTCATGGAGGTTTCCACCCAGATTTCAAAGGAAGGTGCCGCAGTCTGGCTGGGCACAAAATAAAGAGCCACCATGAGGCACTTGAGGTTCAAAATAGGAACTCCTTTATTATCTGTGATCGCCACCCATTCAGCCCTTCCAGGAACCACCAACCAGAAATCCCTCCTCTGGTACTCCCCCAACCAAGCCAACTCTCCAAAGTAGCCAAGAACTCCAAAGTAGTGGGCGCCAGAGGTGGACAGCAGGGGTCTAATATACAATTGAATACACAGCTTAACATAACCATCATCATCTCAATGGCTCCCTGGCGTCACCTCTCAACCACTCCCTTCAGGCAAAAATGCCATGCGTCATTCCTACTCAGCTGTGGCTCTCAGCAGGAAGGCCTGGAAAGACAGGCAAAGTGTAGCAGAATGCCTGAGGGCTGCCCATAAGAGGGCAAGGTGTGAAGATGTGAGAAGGAAGCCAAAGCCACAGTAGAGACCCCAAGATTCAACAGACGAATGGATAAAAAAAAAAATGTGGCATTTATACACAATGGAGTATTACTCTGCATTAAAAAATGACAAAATTATAGAATTTGGAGGGAAATGGATGGCATTAGAGCAGATTATGCTAAGTGAAGCTAACCAATCCCTAAAAAACAAATGCCAAATGTCTTCTTTGATATAAGGGGAGTAACTAAGAACAGAGTAGGGATGAAGAGCATGAGAAGAAGATTAACATTAAACAGGGATGAGAGGTGGGAGGGAAAGGGAGAGAGAAGGGAAATTGCATGGAAATGGAAGGAGACCCTCAGGGTTATACAAAATTACATACAAGAGGAAGTGAGGGGAAAGGGAAAAATAATACAAGTGGGAGAAATGAATTACAGTAGATGGGGTAGAGAGAGAAGAGGGGAGGGGAGGGGAGGGGGGATAGTAGAGGATAGGAAAGGCAGCAGAATACAACAGACACTAGTATGGCAATATGTAAATCAATGGAAGTGTAACTGATGTGATTCTGCAATCTGTATGCGGGGTAAAAATGGGAGTTCATAACCCACTTGAATCAAAGTGTGAAATATGATATATCAAGAACTATGTAATGTTTTGAACAACCAACAATAAAAAAAAAAAGAAAAAAAAAAGATAAATCAAGGTTTAAAAAAAAAAAAAGAGAGGCCAGTTTTATGGGATGTCTACTGAGGAAAGCTTCAGGAATCAAGTAGAAACGAGCAAAGAGAGAGGCCATTTGGGCTGCAACCAGCATGCCCATACGGACAGAGCTTTACAAACCCTTCGGAGAGAACATCATGATGCATGTGCCCCAGATGCTGAATGTGGAACTATAGTTGCTCAGCTGAGTTTTGGTCTTGTTTTGGTCCCATCTCTTCTATGCCTCTATTTTTTCTTTATGCAATAGAAAAGTTTACTCGGTGCCTTTATATATTGAATACATGTAAATCACTTTTGATTTTCATAGGGGAAAATATTTAAGTTTGCCTTGAGTCTCAGATGAGATTTTGGACTTGGACTTTTGGGCAATCCTGGAACTGGTAAAACTACGAGAACTTTTTAAAATGGAGTAAATGTGTTTGTGCATTTTGAGATGGGCATGAGCATCTGGCAGTCAGGGGCAGAATGTTACGGTTTAGATATTAAATGTTCCCCAAAAGCTAATGTGTGAAACAATGCAAAAAAGTTGAGAGGTAAAATGATTAAGTTCTAATAATTTAAAACTATTCAGTGCATTAATCCACTGATAATTTATTAACTGGGCATTAACTGTAGGTAGGTGGGGAGTGGCTGAAGAAGGTAGGTCACTGGGATGTGCCTTTGGGATTTATATTATGTCCCTGGTGAATGGAGCTCGCTCTCTTTGCTTTCTTTTTGCTGTATCCTGAGCTGCTTTCCTCCATCATGCCCTTCTGCCATGATGTTTTGCCTAACCTCAAGCCAAAAGCAATGGAGTTGGCCATTTATGAACTGAGATCTCTGAAACTATGAGCCCCAAATAAATTATCCTCCTCTAAAAAGAAAAACAAATCCACAGTGCTAGCTGATTAAATAAATATGCATATTTGTTCTTGTGGAATGCATAGTATTTATGAGATATTTTTATTTAAATAGAAAAATGTAGATCAGTATGGTTTGGTTGATGTGTTGTTTTTTCTTTTTTAGTATTTATTTTTTAGTTTAAAGTGAAAACAATATCTTTATTTTACATTTATGGGTGCTAAGGATGAAACCCAGTGCCTCATGCATGGTAGGCGAGCACTCTACCACTGAGCCACAATCCCAGCCCCTGATGTGCTGTTTTCTAATTTAAAATAGCACAGCAAAAATATTCTCCAAATACCCATAAATAATCCATCAAGTAATAATTTCATATGAACTATAAAGCAACTTTGAAAAATCAAAAGAAATCATGTCTTCTAAAGAAATTAAATGACAAGTCACATTATTTTACATACTTTGTTTCTGTCACATACTTTCTTAAAATACAATCTATGAATAAAAAATGCACATAAAAATAGGTATTAAAAGATTCAAACAAAATTTTTCTAATTAATGTAATCTGCTCTTAAATAAACAATGGGAAATGGTAATTTCTTGCATATTCATCTACCCACCAACTATTTATTTATGGAATGAATGTGGGGTGCTTGATCAATGCTGTTCCTTTGAAATAAATTTTAAGGCTTCCATAATATAAATACTGTAAGATTTGAAAAGTACCTTAAGAACTGAAACAAGAAAGGACTAGGGATGCTGGGGTACATTTCAGTGGTAGAATGCTTACTGCTAAGCTGGGCTTGAAGCCCTGGGTTTGATCCCCACCACCACCATGAAAAACATTTTTTGTCTAAAAAGAAATGAAACATGTGAGAGTTTGCTTACACAAAGAAAGATTTGTCCTTCATGTTATTTTATAAGGGAGGTGAAATTTGACTTCACTGGCATCTGCACATCTGGAGGTTGAACAGACTGGCATTGCCCTATGTGTACAGGGATGTTAATCTTCAACTGACTCTAAAATCCAAGACAAATGTGAAAACGAGAGGCGTTCCTTATTTTTAACAGGTGAAACTTGAAGTTTAGGCATTTAACACAGGGTAAAAATTAAGTTCAGTAACACTGGTAACAAAAGGATAGCGGGCTGCAGCCAGGTACAGTGGTGTACGCCTGTAATCCCAGCAGTTTGGGAGGCTGAGACAGGAGGATTGCAAGTTCAAAGCCAGCCTCAACAAAAGTAAGGCACTTAGCAACTCAGTGAGACCCTGTCTCTAAATAAAATACAGAATAGGGCTGGGGATATTGCTCAGTGGTTGAGTGCCCCTGAGTTCAATCCCAGGTACCAAAAAAAAAAAAAGTATACACACACACACACATACACAAACATATATATATATATATATTAGCAGGCTTCCTCTTGTGTCTTTGGTCTGTCTCTGTGGTTGGCCTCTATCATTTAGAGCATTTTTCCCAGGATTTTTTTCAATATGACAATCATCTTCAGGGCAAACACGTATATCAGACTCTAGTTCTAGTGGTACATATTTTATTCATTTATATACACGTATCCTTCACCTTTCGTGCTCTTTGTCACTGCATTCCTACCAACACCATTTATTACAACCTCACACATTTACTCTGTTCCCAGTTTATTTGTAGATAAAAAACTTGTACATGGCACATATCAAAATTCAGTTGTTCTTAGTGCACAGAAATTAAATATTCCTCACCGTAATAAAATACTTTTCTTCATCTTTTGGAATATAATTTATGTTCATTTAAACCCACAATGAGAACACTTCTTAGACAAATATAATACCCAAGGTTCATGTGGTAATGATTGAAGTGCTCTGTACTTCTTAGCACAATAAAATATATCTGTAAAATGAGGAAAGCCAAAAAATATTTAAGACAAAAACAGAACACCACATATTCTAATCATACAACAGATCAACAGAAACTTTTCAAAATAGGTTTTTGGTGAGGTTTTTTATTCTGAATGGACCAGAAAAAATAATCCAAAAAATCTGTATTTTTTTGTTGTAGTAAAAACATTAACATAAAATTTATCATCTTACTGAAGGTATACTGTACATATGTATTCTTTGTCTTTAAGTTACCTTCTCACAGAAAATTTATAAATAATGTTTAGAAAAAGAATTATTTTTTATAAGAAGAATGATCTATCTCAATTTATTGTGAGATCATCGACAACTGCTTTTAATGCTCAAATGTCAAGACATTGGAAGGCAGGAATACACTTCATAATTAAGTATGTGGTACTATATTTGTTCAAGTGGAAATCATATATTTCCCCAATACCTGAATTTTAAAAAGTATTCCTTTAGAAAAAAGAACTAAATATTAACTATTTTTCTTTAAAATGTTTCCTCATATTTTTACTAGTTTGTGCCTAGTATTTAAACAGCATTTATCCTCACTTGCTGCATAAAAATGAAACTTGGTCATATTAGAGGCAGGACATAATTCACTCCAAATTTTCAATGAACAAAGTTCCATGGCTGCTGCTTATGTAGGAGATAGGGAGTGAGGTGGTGTTATGAAATTACCAATATGAAATAAATGCTCAATGAGGCCTCGGTAGCAGTTATCAGGAAAACTACTCAGTTTTGTGATTTTTTTTTTCCTGTGTGTGTGTGTGTGTGTGTGTGGATTGAACCCAGGGCTTTCTGCAGACTACAGGGAGCCTATGATCTTTTATTTGAGCCATTTAAATATGGGTTTTATTATTATTTTTTAAGTTCTCTTTAGTTATAGATGGACACAATATTTCTATAAAAATTATTCATTTTTATGTGGTGTTGAGGATCAAACCCAGTGTCTCACACATGCGAGGCAAGTGCTTGACCACCAAGCTAAAGCCCCAGTCCTACTATTAATTTTTTTAACTCCACAATAATTTCTAGAGTTTACTGAAAGTTCAAAAACTAGAGAAGATAAGTTTCCTTAATGTATGCCCTTTTTTCTTTTTATTTTTTTTAAAGATACAGTCTCCCAATGTTGTCATAGCTGGCCTCAAATTCCTGTGCTCAAATGACCCTCATGCTATAGCCTCTTGAGCAGCCATGCCTATAGGCACATATTTCTGGCCTGAAAATACATGACTTCTTTTATCAGTTTTCTACTAGAAAAGAAGTACTTTTATAACTTGATTTGGTTTTATTGTCATTTTCTCCATTATATTTTGCTTTCTATAAACACTTCATTTCCAGAAATGAAGTAATTAAAATGTTGCACTAAGTCAATTAAAACAGAAATGCTAGATTTAAGTTCTAATTTGAGGACTGGGCTGGGGATGTAGCTCAGTGGTGCAGCACTTGTCTAGCAAGTATGAGGCACTGAGTTTGATCCCCAGAACCCCTTAAGCCCTCTGACCAAAATTACAATAAATCTCACATTGGGAAAACATCTACTAGCAAGTAGAGGAGTCCCATGTGTCCTTCCTCAGAAGAACATGAACACTGAAAAGCTACAGAAGGTCTGCAGTGCTAGAATACAAATTCCTTTGTCATTATTACAGAAATTTTATTTTCATCTATTTGGTATAACCAAACCATTCTATATATTCCACATAATCATCTTTGAAAAGAAGCATAAGCCATTTTGGTTTTAGAAAATTAAGTTCAAAAGAAAGGTACTAAAAATAGTCATACCAATGAATAAAATTTGTATTGCTTTTTGTAAACCACTCCATGAATTTTGCACTGTAATTCTTTTTTTCTTTTTTGAAAGTAACTTCCACACTTTGAGTGTTCTTTGTCTTCTTGGGGGCGATTTTCTTTTCTCCACAAAATCTTAAGGACGTTGTACCAGTTTACTTTTACTTCCCTCCTGTTCACTGAGTTTAAAGTGGGTATAGGCAAGAATGCCAAATAATGTACATAAAATGCCAAGACCCTGATTAATTGATAGTGGATCTTTAAATAAAACATATCCTCCACATAATGTAATGCAGAATTTGAAGTGTCCAAACATGTTATAGCTGAGGTTTTTGGATAAGGATAAAAAGGAGTAATAAGCTAGATATTAGGCACATACACACAACAAAGGCGTCCGGTGGCTGGAAACAACGCCAGGAAACCCGGACTAAACAGCAGCACTTATCTAAGGAACTTTAGTGAAGGGCTGGGTCAGTTCTAGTTTCTTCAGGTAGGTTTTAGCAACTTAAAAATGACAAGATGGTGACACTGTGCTCTTCTGAGCAGGTCCTAAGCAACACACACACACACACACACACACACACACACACACACAGAAGACTTTCTCATCTGTTCCTGTTGACCTTTTCAAAGAGCAAAGGGCTAAAATACAAAGTTAGGAATGAAATTTAGAACATGGTACAGAGAGGATCTTTGGTACAACATTTTACAGTTATGTTGCATAGTGGTATTTCTAATAAACTTTCCCTGGCAAATGAGGTGAGATGTGGAAGGTGCCAAGGAGCCAACTCCTTGTAAACACTTTCAGTATGCTTAAGGCTAGGAGGAAAAAGGGCGGGAGGGAGTGATACTATATGCCAACCATGCCACACTAGGCATTTTACGTTAACACCTATTGCGCACATTTCCCTTCACCGCACTCCCACTCCCCATTTTACAATTGCAGAGGTGCAGGGACTTTAAGTAACTTGCTTCAGATCAAAGAGCTTAAGTGGCAGAGTCAGCATCCAAACACAGATGAATCTCTTTAACTCCAAGTCTATGCTCTGATCTAGTATACTGCCAGTAACTCATAGTGGAATTAAGGTTTTTCCAAGTCATTCATATAAAATCCATGTGCTGGCTCCAACGCTTTAGTTTTAAATTTCTTTACTCCCCCAGCCTCTCTTAACCAGTTCATGATATGTTAAAAATATTTATAAAGGGAAGGCAAACTTAAACTCTTCAATGTTGCTCTTTATAAATTGGAAGAGACAGAGAGGGAGAAAAAGCACAAGCACACAGTCTATCTCTGGTATTTCTAATTCTTCCTTTCCTCTATCAATCCTCCACTCTGCTGCAGTCAGGCTTTGCACCCACTACCCAGAATGCCCCTGCCAGTGTCCTCCACCTCAGTAAGCCCACTGATCCATTATTAGCCTTCTGTGTACTTGACCTGTCAGTGACAACTGAACCAGTAGTTTACTCTTGTCCTTTGCCACTCTCCTTCCTTCCACCTAGTTCCTCTCATTAAACACTGAAGTGCCCTGGGATTCAATCTCTGGACATGTTTTTCTACTTGTTTGCTTAGTAGTCTCAACCAGGCACCTATGCACCCCAACTATGTGAAATACCCCTGGCTGAGACTTTTTCCTTGAACCCTCAGTTTATCCAAAATTAAGCACGTGACCATTTTCCTCATCTCAAGCATCCTCTGAGCTGTCCTGTCTCAGCCACCTTTATATCAGCCAAAACCATGTAAGTCAACCTTGTTTCCTCATTCTCCACATCCAACTGGTCAGCAAAACACACTGGCTCTACTTGGAAATACATCCCAAATCCAATCATTCCCACCATTCCACTGCTACCACCCTAGTAAGAAACTACAATTATTTCTAAATTAGAATACTGCAGTAGCCTCCTGTCAGTTTCCCTTCTCTCCTAGCTCTTTCAGTCCAGTGGTTCTTAACCAGGATGATTGTGCCACATGAGCCATGTCTGAAGACATTTTTGGTTGCCACAACTGAGGGCTGGGTGTACTACTGGCAGAGACTTGGCATGCTGCTAAACATCCTGCAACATACAAGACAGGCTTCCACAACAAAGCACTGTCCAGCCCACAATGTCAACAACCCTGATGTCATCTTCTCACTTCAAACTCCGTCGGCTTCCCAGCTCATTCAGAGTAATAGTCCTTATGTGGAGGCCCCATTCAGTCTGGTTCCGTTACCTCTCAGCCCACCATATCCCCTCCTCTGCACATGCTGCTCCATGCAGGTATCCCTGTTTCTCGGGCCTCTTACCTGCTATTGCTTCTGCCTGGAATGTTCTTCTCTCCCAGTCTGCATGGAGCAATCTCATTTCCTTCAGTTCTTTACTCAATCACCTTCCTGTAGAGGCCTTTTGACTACCCTTCCTAAAACTTCAACCCTGTCCCCAACATTTCACATCCACTTTCCTGCTTTCTTTTTTTTCTCCTTGGTACTTAACACTACCCAACACTGTGTATGCATATTTAAAAACTTTATAGTCTGTATATAGTCTGTATTCCTCACTAGAATTTAAGCCTGAGGAGGCAAAGATTTTCATCTGTTTGGTTCACTACTGTATCCCCAGTGGCTGGCATATAGTAGACCTTTGGTATGTAAGTATTTATTAAGTCAATGAGTGGTTTATAGTGGGTATTCAATAAATATTTGTTGAATGAAGGAATGTCTTTAATTAGGACACATTCTTGGGTACCTTGATTTGGCAACATGATCCACATGTCCACATCCGACTAGACTGTAGGAGTTCAAATCTGGACATCACACTTCTCATCTGTGTGGCCTTAAATGAGTTATTTAACCTCTCTGTGCCTACTCCCTTGTCTGTAAAATAAAATGATAGAATGCACTTTAAAGAGCTGCTGTGAGAATTAAATGGACCAATATACACAAAATGTATCCAATAGTATCTGGTATAAATTTATTTATTAAGGATTGTTTTTTTAAAAAAAGTGTAATTATTGTTATTTATTGATAGCAAATTTGCTATTTATTTTATTCTGTTGATATCTCAGTATTTATTCATTTGTATAAATCAGTATATTCTGATAAAACAATACTAAACTACCTCTATGATCTGGATTTGCATTTGCCTAAGTGGGGCAGAATGAAATACAAATACAAGAGAAACAGAATGACAAGCTGCATGGTGAAAATGGGCAGCTGAATTTGACCTTCAACAAATGACTTCATTTTTAAAATAAATTTTCAAAATAAAAATTTTAAATATTGAAAACAGTAGACACACCCATACAAAATAAGTACAAAGACACACTGCCAAATCAGCTGCCAGGAGTCTGAAATTAACATCTTTTGTTACATGGGTTAACCACACCTCTATTTTATTACTGAAAACTAATTGAAACTCAAGCCTCCACCCTGTTATTCATTCAACAAATATTTAAGTCCACTATCTGCAAGGAATGGTACTCTAAGTTAATTTTTGTAAGATAAACAGTCACCAATTATTATTCATGCTACAGCAAGTGAACTCATTTCCTCAGTTCTTATTTCTTTAAAGTTCTAAAGACTCTAGTGGGGGAAATAAACAGAAAAAGATTAAAAATAACCAATACTACTCAATTTAGGACATGCATATATAGTTAGTATAAGACTCAAATAAGGTAGTGAATGTGAATTTTGGAAACATAAAAGACTACGCATTTGTAAGTTATTGTTGAAAGGATACGTGACTGGTGAAGTGTTCCCAATGATCCAATAAATGGATAAGTTCACCATGAAAGCTATTACTCCAGATAGCAGCACCATAAGCTACAAATGAATCAAAAAAATCATTAGTGTGAAGCACTGCACTATAATCAAGTAAAAATACATTTCATTAGGCATTTTAAAAACTCAAGTATCAGGCTGGGAGAGAGCTCAGTGGTGGAGCACTTGCCTAGCATGCACAAGGCCCAGGTTCAATCCCCAGCACCAAAACAACAAACACCCCTCAAATATCAACCATTAAAAACAAAGATTAGAAAATGAGAATCAATTTGGGAGACCACAAAAATTGAGAGTAGCCAAACACAGAGCCTATAATTCCAGCGACTTGGAAGGCTAAAGCAGGAGGATTGCAGGTTCAAGCCAACGTCAATAACTTAGTCATGTTCTAGGCAATTCAGCAAGACACTGTTTCAAAATAAAAAATGAAAAGGGCACCAGGTACAGTGGTGCACGGGAGGCTGAGACAGGAGGATCATGAGTTCAAAGCCAGCCTCAGCAACATCAAGGTACTAAGCAACTCACTGAGACCCTGTCTCTAAATAAAATACAAAATGGGTCTGGGGATGTGGCTTAGTAGATGAGTGCCCCTGAGTTCAATCCCTGGTACCAAAAAAAAAAAAAGAAAGAAAGAAAGAAAAGGACTGGGGATGTGGTTTCAGTGGTAAAGTGATCCTGGCTCAAATTCCAAGTACCCAAAAATTTTATAAAATAAAAAAATTAAGAGTATAAGAGCACAATGAATGAATAGTATTCAAAAATATAACTGCCCACAAGAATCAACAGAAAAGTCTGTAATAAAGCCTGTCTCTGAATATGAATTTTAGGTTCATTTTTCTTATCCATCTAAGGAAGAAATATTTTGTAATAATTTTTTTTTGAAATAGTCTTGCTGTGTTGCCCAAACACCTGGATTCAAAGAATCCTCCTGGCTAGGTGTGGTGGCTCATGCCTGTAATCCCAGTGGCTTGGGAGGCTGAGGCAGGAGGATTGTGAGTTAAAAGCCAGCCTCAGCAATTTAGTGAGGTCCTAAACAACTTAGCGAGACCCTGTCTCAGAATAAAATATAAAAAGGGCTGAAGATGTAGCTCAGTAATTAAGCACCCATGGGTTCAATTCTTGGTACCAAAAACAAAAACTACTCCTGCCTCAGCTTCCCTAGCAGCTGGGACTATAGTCACATAGTCACACACCACCATGTCCAGGTGTAATAAATTCTTATTATAAAAATTATACATATGTATAGTAGAAAAATCAGGAAAAAAAAGGATAAGAAATTCTTACAATCTCAACTACCACACCTATAAATATTTTGGCATCTACCTTCTAGGTTTTTTTCTATTGAATTGCTCATTTTTAGTCTTCTTTTTTTTTTTTTAAACCTTAATTTATTTTCTTTTTGTTATCTAGCTCCTTTGTTCCCATGAACTTCTTCTTTTTTTTTTTAAAGAGAGAATGAGAGAGAGAGAGAGAGAGAGAGAGAGAGAGAGAGAGAGAGAGAGAACTTTTAATATTTATTTTTTAGTTCTCGGCAGACACAACATCTTTGTTGGTATGTGGTGCTGAGGATCGAACCCGGGCCGCACGCATGCCAAGCAAGCACGCTACCACTTGAGCCACATCCCCAGCCCTCAATTTAAGTCTTATTCAAATAAAGATAATAAATATTTATTGGACATCAATAAAACTGGTTCAACCCTCCTGAAAAACATAATATATACAAAGTTCCTGCCCTCAAAGAGCTTGGAAACTAGAAGAGATGATATCAAAGTTTATGTTTATATGATACTTACGTAAACAGAATTGTTCTAAATATTTTACATGTATTAAATCATTTAATCCTCATAAACAACCATAAAATAGGCATGAAAAAAATATTATCCCTATTTACAGATGAGAGAGCAGAGTGCAGAAGTAATCATCCTAAGATCACAGAGCTAGTAAAGGGCAGCACTGAGATTTAAACGCAGGCAGACTGGTTCTAGAGTCCTGGCTTTTAACCCATTCTGCCATGATGCCTCTTAATCACAGAATAATAGTGCAATAGAAGACTTGCAGCTCATGAGATGAAAAACAAGTCTTGAGTTCTAACTCACTAGCAGGCAAACAGACAATAAATCCTACATAAATTTCAAGGCAGGAGAGGTCCTTCTGGAATGGGACAGACAGAGAAGTCTTTGGATCTTAAAAGTATGTATAGATTAAAGAAAGAGAGGGTAGGGTTCAAGCACAGGGACAGCATAGGTCAAAGTGTAAGTATAGAGTATGCTTACAGGACAGGGAAGAAACCACCTTGGATGAGGATAGGGGACAAATGGGCTGTACCACAGTATACATATACAGTGCTTTGTTCAAACTTACCCTACTTTATTTTATGTTTTTGGTGGTGCTGGGGATTGAACGCAGGGCCTCGTGCATTTGAGGCAAGTACCCTATCAGCTGGGCTATATCCTCAGCTCCCCACTTTATTTATTTTTTATTATTTTTTTAATATTTATTTTTAGGGGCTGGGGAGGTGGCTCAAGCAGTAGCGCGCTCGCTTAGCATGCGTGCGGCCCGGGTTCGATCCTCAGCAGCACCATATACCAACAAAGATGTTGTGTCCGCCGAGAACTAAGAAAAAATAAATAAATGTTAAAATTCTGTCTCTCTCTCTCTGTCCCTCTCTCTCACTCTCTCTTTAAAAAAAAAAAAAAAATATTTATTTTTAGTTGTAGTTGAACATAATATCTTTATTTTTATGTGGTGCTGCGGATCAAACCCAGGGCCTTGCATGGGCTAGGTGAGTGCTCTATTGCTGAGCCACAATCCCAGCACTCCCACTTTATTTTATTTTTTTTTTAAAGAGAGAGAATTTTAATATTTATTTTTTAGTTTTCGTCGGACATAACATCTTTGTTTGTATGTGGTGCTGAGGATGGAACCCAGGCCACACGCATGCCAGGCGAGCACACTACCGCTTGAGACACATCCCCAGCCCCCACTTTATTTTAAAAAGCATAAAATCAGGACTGGGGTTGTGGCTCAGTGACAGAGCACTTGCCTCACACATATGAGGCACTGAGTTCGATCCTCAGCACCACAAAAAGATAAATAAACAAAATAAAGATATTGTGTCCATGTATAACTAAAAAAAAAAATTTAAAGACGACATAAAATCATTTTCTATCTTTGAATTCAGATAAAATATTAGCTATGATTTAAATTATTAAGAAGCCTAAGTTCCAAGGGAAATGCTGTATATGAAGATACTTTCTGTCCCATATAAATTTTATCACTTTTAAAATCAGTATAGTTGTAAGAGGACCAGGAGTTGAATTTGTGTCCTATTTAGGTAAACACAGTAATACCTCATTTGATTTGATTTGTGATGTCTGCTAAAAAGTAAGAAAACGTGCATAAAATGCATCACTGTTAATTTTACTGGGTTCACAGAATGTCACATACCTATTTCTTGATGACTTGGCACACTGATTAAAAAGACCATTACATGTTTTACTTTGAATCAATGATGCCCCCTAGAGATATCAAGGAACCAAGGTGATTTTTCCTTACATTACATAGCCTCAGCTTGCTGTACTCTTAGTTTCTTTGTACATTTTATGGACTTCCTGCTGTTTTCCTCTTTCAAAACCTGTCAGAGGTCTACCACGAAAAACCTCTCTTCTAGTTTCAAGTGTCCAAGCTGCAATATTTGAAGACCAATTAATCCAGATGGTAGGACTTTTGCAAAATAAAAGGAATATTATTTGAGATGGTCCAATGATTTCTACTTTAGGAACAAGTATATACGCCAAAGTATAAATTTGACAATAGCAAAGCTATGAACCAACATAGGTGCCTTTCAAAAGATGAAGGGATAAAGAAAATGTTACGTACACACACACACAGGAATATTACTCAATCATAAGAAGAATGAAATTATGGCATTTGCTGGAAAAATTGATACAACTAGAGACAATTGTGCTAAATGAAATAAGCCAGTTCCAAAAAACCAAAGGCTCAATGTTTTCTCTGATATGTGGATGCTAACACATAAGGGGGGTTCAAGTGGGAAAAGAAGTTCATTGGATTAGACAAAGGGGAATGAAGGGAAGGGAGAAGGGATAGGAATAGGAAAGACGGTAGATGAATTGGTCATAACTTTCCTATGTTCACATATGAACACACTACCAGTGAAACTCCACATCATGTAAAACAATAAGAATGGGATCCTAATTAGAATAAGTCATACTCCATGTGTGTACAATATGTCAGAATACACTCTGTATGTATTCTGTATGTGAATGTGTATAACATATAATATATAATATTGTATGTGTATCTAAAAAGAACAATAACAAAAAATATACGAATTTGAAACAATTATTGGTCTCAGGGGCAGCACAGTAGAGTACTCAAAAATATGGTGATTGTGTGATGACTGCATATAGTCCCAGTTATGTGGGAGGCTGAAGCAGGAGCACTGCTTGAGCCCAGAAGTTGACAGCCTGGGCAACAGCAGACCCCAACCCCCAAAAAAAGGAAAAAAGGAGGGCGGGGAGGGATTCTGAGAGTGTAGCTCAGGGGTATAGCACTTGCTTGGTTGGGTTTAATCCCCAGAATTGTGAGTGGGGAGGAGGTGAAAAATAAGGACTTTGGAGTCAAGATGCATGGATTCAAATTCTGCCTCCACTAATTAACTGTGGGATTTCAGGTCAGTTACATAATAACTCTTTTGTCTCTAGTTTCCCGGAGTAAAAATAGTTAATACTAGTATTAACCTCACAAAGTTATGAAGCGTAAATAAGTTAACATTTGCAAAGTGCTTGAATAATGCCTGGAAAGGATGAAGGGTTAGTAAGTATTTGGTTAAGTTAACACCACCAACAAAAAAGACATTCCTACTGACTGTTTCAAAGGTTAAAGCTGTTAGAAGTGAAAGTTCCCGATAAGTAAGGTATTATGGACTGTTTGTTTCCTCCCAAACTTTGCATAATGAAATCTAAATTGTGATAGAATTAGGAAGTGACTAAGTCACCTCATTGATCCTCACAAAGGGGATTAATGCTCTTTGGAGAAGAGACAAAAGAGAGTTTGCTTCTCCTCTCTTTCCCTCTGGTGAGGATATAAGGAAAGACTGCCCTCTGTAAACAGAGGGCCTTATTATCAAGAACCCAACTGAACTGGTTGGTACTCTAACCCTCAGACTTCCAGGCTCCAGAACTGTGAGAAAAAAATGTTTGTTGGTTAAGCTACACAGTCCATGATATTTTGGTAATAGCAGCCTGAACTAAGACAATGGTGATTATATTTTCTAACTTAAATGTCCTCAAAGTACATACACTTTTGATCTACCAATTCTCCTCCTAAGACTTTATTCCATAGAGGGGAAATAAAAAGTATCAGGACACACAACGCATGTATAAGAATGTTTATTAAAATGTTGTTCATAGTGGTCAAGGACTAGGAAAAAAAATTGAATACCTAAAGGGATTATTTATACAGACACTAAAAAGTATAATTTGGAGAGATTTTCATGGTATTGTTAAGAAAAGCATGTGCAGGGGCTGGAGGTGTAGCTCATGCTTCAACTAGTTCAATCTCTGAAACCTGTATGATCCCACGTTTGTCAAAAACACAATCTGTGTGTATTATTATTATTTTTTTTAAAAAGAGAGAGTGAGAGAGGAGAGAGAAAGAGAGAGAGAGAATTTTTAATATTTATTTCTTAGTTCTCGGCGGACACAACATCTTTGTTGGTATGTGGTGCTGAGGATCGAACCCAGGACCTCACGC